ATGCCGGTGTTGCATGTGGTGGCTTTACCTGCTGTGCCAAAATCAGACCTGGAAGTGTTGATGTTTAATTTCTTACAACAATTCTGTAAGTTAAGTGAGATTATCCTCATTTCATGGCCAGAAAAACTGAGTTCAGAGAGGTTAAGAGGGGCCGGCGCTGTGGCGTAGCAGGTAAAGCCGCCGCCTGCTGTGCTGGCATCCCATATGGGTGCTGGTTTGAGTTGAGGCTGCTCCTCTTCCAATCCAGCTCTCTGCTATGGCCTGGGAAAGCAGTGGAAGATGGCCCAAGTCCTTGAGACCCCGCACCCGCGTGGGAGACCTGGCTGTCTGGGGAGTGAACCAGCAGATGGAAGATTCTCTCTCTCTCTCTCCACCCCTCCCAACCTCTCTGTGACTCTGCATTTCAAATAAATAAATAAATCTTTAAAAGAAAGAAAGGTTAAGAGACTTGCCCAAGATCCCACAGGAGAAAGGCGGCCAAGCTGTAGTTTGTGACCCCTGGGGCTTCGAACCCTGGCCTCCACTGTCAGAAATGCGGCTTCCTTGCATGCGCACCTGCTCCTCCCCACGGGGACTTTCTGGGGTTGCAGGCGTCTGCTCAGGCCTCAGTGGAAGCCAGGGAAGTGCAGGGGGTACGGCTCCAGCAGCCGGGGCAGGGGGGAGGGGGGAGGGCAGCTCTCGCAGCTTCCTTGCCCCCAGTGAGGCCGGCTGGAGCAGTGGGCGGTGCAGCATCCCAAGGACCCCCACGAACAGCCGCCGCGTGCGGTTCCTCTCCTGCCCCCTGCACCTGCCTCTCTCGGTGCCACCTGGGCCCCTCCCAGTAAATCACCTGCACCCACACTCTTATCTCAGGGCCTGCTTCTCGGGGTCTCCAGCCAGCACCGTCGGCCATGCCGGGCATCAGGCTGTTGGCGTTCAGTGCCGTGGGCAAAGCCAGAGTCCTATCCAGGCCGATGGAGGCCCAGAGCCCGGAGCTCGGCCCGATGCTGTGCAGTCACAAGTGAAGATGGCTCACCTCTGAGCCTCTCTCTGCTCTCTTCCAGTACAGGGAATAGCCAGTGAAGGTGGGTGCCGGCAAACGGCTGGCGTCTGATGGATGCTGGTTCTCCTGGGTAATGCCGGCCTGGCATCCGCCCTTCCCCATGTCCAGCACCCACCAGGTAGCCGCCGTGCTCCTGTTTCATTAGCGCATCTTCCCAGGACCCTGGCTTTTTAAGAGCCCTCCCTCTCCCTCATAGCCCCTCCCTTGTCCCCAGGGGGCCAGGCCTCTGGGGGTCCCGGCCGTGGTCTCTGCACGGTCTGCTCGGCCAGGCACACCTGAAGCCAGTAGGGAGCAGAGGGCTTCTTGGACACAATGGGTCAAGTGCAGCTGAGTGGCCCAAGGACACCTCGGCAAAGCCACACACTCCCCCAACCCCGGATCTGCAGACGGGGGTGGGGCCAGGACTCACCTTGGGGAGGGACGATGGGCAGGGCGGAGCTCCCAGGGAGCCAGGGACATGGAGTTCTGGCCCAGACCAGCAGCCATGTGTCTTCCCGGTCCACCTCTGTTTCAGATGGGAAGGGCCTCGGGTAGCTGTTCGGACCGGCCCAGAACTCGGTGACCTGCAGCATCTGGGCTGCTGTCCAAGAGGCAGTCGGGGCATCTGAACCAACCTGGGGCTGAACCGTGCAGGTGAAGGCGGCAGGGTGCATCTTCACACTCCCTGTCGGCTTTCAAGGCCGGCAGCCTGTCACCACCGCCGGGAAGCCTTCCTTTCTCTCCACGACAGAAACATCTTTCTCTCTCTGTGCTGCTGTGGCGTCTCCTTGGTGCTCTGACGCCAACGCCGACGGCGCAGCCCTCAGGTCTCCCGGCCCTGAGCCTGCGATGCCTGATGGATGGGGCAGGGCGCGGGGCTCCTGCCTAGCCTGGGGCCCAGGGGTGCTGCCCAGGGTGTATGAACAAGCGAGTGAGCGTGAGGCTGAACCAACGAGGCTCCTTCTCCCCTCCCAGGCTGGGGCCACGCCCACCCCCTCCATGCTCCAAGCTGCAGATTCAAAGCCAAAGGCAGGGCCCCCTCCCCCGGCTCCTGTGGCCTGGAGCTTCCCCCCACCCCCGCTCTCGCCAGTGTGTCCCCTGCCGCTCTGCGCGGTTCCTTGCTGCTGAGCCGTGGGTGCACTTCAGGGGTCAGCGGAGCCCCACGATCACGCCGTGAGTAGGCAATGCAATACCAATGTCATGCCTACCTGGGCTTGTTCTCCATCACGGCAGGAAGAGAGAACAGGTCTTTTTATTTATTTTATTTCAGTTCTTCCAGGAAATGGCCGAGGCATTGGGAAACAGACTTGCAGAGCTGTGCAGCGAGGGGAAGGGCTGGGGGCGCTGGAGAGACAGCAGGGCTCTGGGGAAGGAGGAAGCGGGCGGAGGGGCAGCGGTTCTTTGTGGTTGTTGCCTGCCGATCTGGCCTGGGAGTTATATCCTCAGATCCACCGGACCCAGCAGCTGACTGATAACCCAGGAGTCAGACTCCAGCTTCCATCAGCATGGGCTGGCCCACATCAGTGGACGACCACTGCCCAGCGAGACTGAACAACAAACTTGGTGAACTGTTTGTCACCCAGTGTCCCCGCGGCACTGGATAACCCAGCCACGGCCGAATACCTGTTCCGTCTGCGGCACCCATGCACCGCTCGATCAGGGTGAGTGGTAACACCTATCTCGTGGGTGATGTCACGGGGTTTTGGAAGCACGACTACAATTAGACATAAACGGGCTGCCCTGCCTCTAAGCCTCTGCTCACGCTGGCCCCCATGTCCAGAAGTCCCCGCCTCCTGCCATTGTTCCCAAGTTCTGCAGCCCGCCCACGCCGTTCTCTTTGGGCTTCTCCTCGCTGCTCCTGCCCCCTGCCCCCTGCAGGGGGTCCCGCTCCTGCCTCAACGCCGCAGGAGGCCGGGTGGCCCCTGTGTGGCTCGCTCGGCACAGTTGGGTTCCACTGCTCCGTGGTGAGAGCTCCCTCCTTGAGGCGCAGTCTTGCACAGCCTGGCTGCCTAGCACGGGGCCTGGTCCACAGTAGGTCCTCAGGAGATGCTCATTCATTCACTCATCCCCTCATTCCCTCAATCCATCGTGACCGAGCCCCTCCCACGGGCCGGGCTCTGCTCTATGTGCTGGGGCTGTAGCCGTGAGCAATGGACTTGATCCCCACCTTATGGTGCTAATATCCGGGCGGGAGTTAGCAGGGGATGGTGGGAAAGTAAAGACACAGACAGGAAACGCATCAGGTAGTACTGCACGCCGTGCAGAGGGGCAGGTCGGGGGTGGCCTGGTGGCCAGGGACGCTGTGGCCAGGGAGAGCCCTCCCTAGAGGTGGTGGTTGTAACAGCCAGCTGATCAGTAAGGAGGGGACAGGCAGAGCAAAGGCCCTGAGGTAGGAACAGGCCAGGCCACGAGCTCGGCGATGTTAAAGACCCCCATTTGTTCCCGTAGAACCCGGAGTCGCGGGCCACAGCGAAGCTTCGGGAGCTAACGATGCCGCCAGTTGGTTCTCTCTGGAGCCTCCTGGGAAGGGGGCTCCGCGTCCCGCCTTCTCAGCCCGCGGCCGCCGCAGTCCTTGGCTGGCGCTGCTTCCCTGCGTCACTTCCGTCTCTCGTTCCGTCGTCACAGCGCCTTCTGTTGTCTCTGGCCCGCTGGCCTCCCTTTCACAGGGGCCTGTGACCGCGTTACTCCCGCCCCAGCAAACCCAGAATAACCGAATACCCACATTCAAGCTCCTCAACTTGGTGGCGTCAGCCAAACCCCTCTGTCCGGAGGAGGTGACAGTCTCAGGCTCTGAGGATGAGGAGGGGGACGTCTCTGGGGACCACTGGTCTGCCGGCCAAGGTGGTCCTCCTGCCCTCTCTCCCCCTGCCCTGGGTGTGCTAGAGGCCCGGTGGCTGCGCCCGTGGCTGTAACTGGAAGCGGGCGGAGTCCACTCAACCTGCCTGGGCTTTTGCTGAGCTCAGAATGAAACTTTATTATGACAAAGTAGTAAGACTCTGGGGTCCAGGTGTTGCTGCAGCTGTCCTGTCCCACTCTGTCCCGTGCTATCCCGTCCCATCCTGTCCTGTCCATCCCGTCCTGTCCTGTCCTGTCCCATCCCATCTCGTCCTGTCCTGTCCTGTCCCATCCCATCCTGCCCTGTGCTGTCCTGTCCTGTCCCATCCCATCTCGTCCTGTCCTGTCCTGTCCCATGCTGTCCCGTGCTATCCCGTCCCGTCCTGCCCTGTCCTGTCCCATGCTATCCCGTCCCGTGCTGACTTACGCAGTCTCCCACGGGCTCATCACGGTGACTCAAGTCTTGGCCACAGCTCAGAGAGGGAGGCCAAGCCCACGTTCTCTCCCAGGCCCCTTGGGCTTTCCCTCTGCACTATCAGCTGAATGGCATGGGGCATCTTCTAACGGAGCCGGAAGTTCTGGGAGACTCCACCCCCCCACTGGCTCTCAGGGGATGGGCTGATGCTCAGGCTAAGGGAGGACACGTGGAGGAGGCCCAGGCCGTCGCTGGGCTTGCCTGGTTCCATTCTTCCTGCGCGTCAGTGACCCACTGAAAGGGGCTCCGGTGTCAGGCGGCCGCTGCTCTAGAACAGACACTCGTGGAAGGAACCTGACCCAGTACACGGCCTGGAGTCCGGCCCCGCTGACCTGCCACCCGGAACAGGCTGCTGTGCCAAGCCAGAAGGGTAGCGACCACACAGCACCTGTTGTGGCTTGCCGGCAAGGCGCGGATTGGGTTTAGCGTCATGGAGATGGCCGCTGACCACGGCACTCAGCCCTGAGCGGGCTGTTGGGGTCTGCTGGGGTCCCTGGGAGGAGCCTGCCTTCTTCCCGCTTTGCCCTGTCCCCCGCCAGGGCCCAGCCCAGCCCTGGATGCCGGCAAGCGCCCAGTAGCTGCTTCTGAACAAAGCGAGAACAGAGGCGCCAGCCAGTGTCGGGAAAATCGTTGTGTTTGTTTTAATTAAACCGACTGAAGAAGCCAAGACACAGACAGAAAGAGACTAAGAACGAGACTGGAAATCGTTTAGAAAAGAAATGAAAACCGATCGCTCGCAGAAATGTCGGTGCCGGTGGAGGTCGGAGGGGGCGGCGCCTCACGTCAGCTCCAGGACCACTGTTAGGGCGAGCACCAGGGTGAGCCGGACGCCGGCGGGGCCAGACGCGGAGCCTGTGTGGGTGGCGGGATGCGGGTCAGTGGCTGCACGCCAGCCCTGTCGCTCAACCGAGCCTCCGAGGCCCCCCAGCAAAGGCGCTGGACATCAGCCTCAGGATGAGTGGAGTTCGAATCCCAGCTCCGCCACTCGGCCCCTCTGAGAGCCCATGGTCCCTTCCATCCCCAGGCCCCCTGGGCTGAGGTCAGGCTTGCTGGCACCGTCAAGTTGGTCCAGCCAGGACCAGCAGCAGGTGCCTCCATTGTGAACTGTGGGATTGGCTCAGAGTGTGTGCGTGTGTGTCTGTGTGTGTGTTGGGGGCAGGGTGGCAGCCTGGAACAGGGTCGGGGTCCCTCAGGGCGGTGATCAGTTGGGACAGGAGGCAGCCCGGAGAGGGAAGTACCCCCCACTGAGGCATCCGTCTGTGCTCCCGACTGTCCCATGGGTGGTCCAGGGCCCCGGATCACAGCCCATGGTCAACGCCGGACACAAGACCTCAGGGTCAGGGGAGCTGAGCACCTGGAGCTAAGAGAGCTCACGATGTCGCGGATGGGGGGAGGGGCGCACTGGGTGGCTGACCCCCCTTTCTTGCCCGCATGCCTGCCTCTGACCTCCTCCGCCCCTGCCCAGTTGGAGGTAGTGGGCCTCTTGGGGATGGGGGAGGGGCCAGGCACAGGGCGGGGGTGGGGGGCAGTTTGAACAGAGCCTCCGGGAGCCATGAGAACCACTCACTCTCAAGCAAGACACCCGGGGGGCGGAGGCTTACCATTGGAGTCCTCCGTTCCTCTCGGAATATTTGGGTTTTCTGTGGGGAAGAATCAGAAAGGGAGGCAAAGAGGGCAGCAGTCAGGGAAGGCACCCAGCACCCAGCACCCAGCACTGCTACCTGGAGACACGAGCGCAGGCCCAGCCCAGCCATGAAGCCTCCCTGGGGACTGGTGACATCAGCCCATTTTGCAGACGGAGGAACAGAGGGAGGCAGAGCAGGCTGCCCAAGGTTGCCCCTTGCTCAGCCCCGGGGCTGGGATTTGAACCCAGAGTCTCTGTGCCTCCAAAGCTGCTCAGGTTTTAACCCTTGAACTGCCGTGACTTCTGGGGGGCGGACACATGCTCAGGGGGATTTCAGGGGAGTTGTGCCCTTGATTCCCCCGCCTCCAGGGATCGTCGCCCCCTCACCCCCCCGCCCCACACCCAGGGCAGATCTCCCGGCCCTGCCCAGGCGGGTGTGGCCGCACCGAACACGATGAGCCGCGTGTGCGTGTCGGTGGAGCCCAGCGGGTTCTGGGCCGTGCAGCGGTACATGGAGCCGTTGAGCTCGGCCGGGACCCGCTCCAGCACCAGTTCCTTCCCGTCGAACTCTGTGCTGCCGTCCAGGAGGCGGCTCCCGACCCGCGTCCACGTGAACATGGGCTCTGGGAAGACTTCATTCTGTTGGCCAGAGTGGGGGGAGAGTCGGGTCCCAGGAGGCACTGCGCTGCCGTCGCAGGGAGGGGTCAGGCAGGCGGCCTGGCCGGGGCTGCCAAGGCATTGGCATCGGGTGGGCTGGGACTGGCTGCTCGGACCCCAGGAGGAGGCGTCCAGGGCTGGAACAGGTGCCAGGCCCGCGAGCTCGAGGCTTCAGGTTTGCGGTGGGAGAGTGGAAACCTGCGTTCTCCCAATTCTACCATTGCCCAAATTGGGAGACTGAGGCCTACTGGCCATGGCTGAAGGTCAAGGGAGGGGTGTTGGGGGTTGCTGCCGGGGCTGGGGAGTGGGGCTGGTGCCCAGCCGGGGTCCCCCCACCGCCCACCACCTTCCTGGCTGCTCAGAGAGAGGCTGACCTGAAACCCGTGGACCAGGATCCTCACTGTGTCCCCAACTCGGGCTCTGCTGGGCGTCATCACAATTTTGGGGCCTTTAGGTGCACCTGTAGGGAGAGAAGGGCCAGTCAGGGAGTTGGGTGTTTGGGGGAGAGGCCAGCATGGAAAGGAGGGGCCGGGAACCTGGCAGAGTAGATTCAGTCCAGGAGCTCCGAGTATGCTCATTCATTCATTCACACCCGCATTCATTCACACATTCCCTGGGCTCCTGAAAGGAGTCAGACCCCAGCGGGGACTGGGGGTTGAACACAACCTCTGTCCTTGTGGGAGCCACACATCCACGGGAAATGAAGTCAGCAGCAGTCAAATGCAAGCCAGCGTGACAGGTGACAAGGTCAGAGAAGGCAGGGGACAGTGTGGCCAGGGAGAGACGCTTGCCCAGGGGAGGTGCTGCCTAGTAGATGGCTCAGCTGCCAGGGCAGGGGAGCAGCCTGGGCCGCCGCCGGACTGCTCAAGGCTCAAGACTCCCGCGCTCCAACCCTCCTCCTGCTGTCATTGTCCCCTTCACCGCCCGAGTTCACGCAGGCCCACAGTCACAACGCAATTGCCGAAGGTCGCGAAGTGAGGAAGCATCGGGCAACCTGGCGTCTCCTGTGCCCTGATGCAGTGCCCCCGTCTTGGGCTGAGCAGGGGCTTTCTGGAGCGTCTGGGTGGAGGTGGACACCGTGTGGGGGGGCCTTCTCCTCCCTCGCGCCAGCCTTTGCCGCCCGCTGCTCTCCCGCACAGCCTTTCCTCACTGCCTCCACAGGCCGTCATGGCTCAGACCCCGGAGACAGACGCCCAGGGGGCCTTGCTCTCCTGTGGGTGGAGCCTGGGAACCCTTGGCTCCATCCTCCTCTTCAGTTGCAGAGCAGGGGCTCATGGGTAAGGAAGAGCCTTACCCAAGGTCACCAGAGAGCCAGTCACCCACGTTTCTTGATTTTCAGGCCAAGGAGTTTTCTTTTTTTTTTTTTTTCTTTTTTTTTTTTTTTTTGACAGGCAGAGTGGACAGTGAGAGAGAGAGACTGAGAGAAAGGT